GGTTTACGGGGCCCCGTTGCCACGTGGAGGCCTTCTCTAATGCCACGTCGCCCACGCCCACAGAGCTGGTTTCGCAATGCGACCTGAATGCCGGCCGGTGAGTCGGCCGTCCATTCCGCACCTCGTCGTGGTCATCATGGCGATCATGATCACTTTGTCGGCCGGTGAGCTTGTCCTTTGCATCATGCTTGCCGCCTACCCCTACCCCACCTCCCCACCTCCCCACCTGGGAAAATGGCCCTTGAACAAATGTTACATGCGATACAGCTGTTAGAGCATTGACATGCCGCATTTGTTTTTCTACACATATCCTCCTTTCTCCTAGTAAATCTGGGTGCATTAATCCTGGAAGGAGCGTTACCCTTAGACGAATCGTGACACGGTACAGCTGCTAGTTAAATGCGTCACTGAGTCCCGTGCATGCCTCTCTGTGTGCCTCCCTATCTCCTCTGGGACCAGCTGGGAGCGTAACCCGTGGGCGAAGCGTTACACGGGTTACAGCTGCCAGAGCATTCGCCAGCAGCTCAACTGCCAGCGGAAAGGCCGCCAGGACACGGGCTATCTCAACTATGAGTGGCGAAGCCCCGGATGCAATATAAAGAGGTACTAATCACCCTATCTTATTACGAGCGGATTTGACGGTGGATCCCTTTCTGATCCCCCCTTCCCCCCCCCCCCCCCCTTCCCCTTCCCCCTCTCTCTCCCTCTCCATCCCCCTCCCGCTTCCGCACTTATGATTCGGCGCCACACATCGTCCGTTCAACGGCACAGACAGGGCAGCTACGTGACCCATGGATACAGCAAGGACAACAGCACACTCGTCCATTCTTTCATCCCGTCTCACCCATGTTGGATTGCAACTCGTTTTTCAGCGCCTCTCATAGCAGCGCCTCCCATAGCAGCTCCTCCCGTTTGTTCATGACTCCAACAAATGCCCCATCCGTCCGTGCGCCTTCCGTACCTCATTCCATCCCTCCGATGCAGGTTCGATACCGCTGCTTTCCTCAGCCTCGTCCGCAATAGGGTCTTCATGACAGCTGGCGACTCCTACGCCACCAACCTCTACCACGCGCTGCGCTGCCTCATTGAGACAACGACACAGGTCAAGGTAAGTCAAACTGTCAACTCGAATGGGGTCTGACGTTGACTCCCACGCCACCAGCCGTTACCATGCGTGGCGCTGCCTCATTGAGACAACGGCACAGGTCAAGGCAATTCAAGGCAAGTCACGCAGTTATATCTATGCCACCAATCAGCCCAAACCATTTTTGAGGCGCCTCTAAATTATTCACCCTGTCAGATATGTGCGACCAACCAGCCCAAACCACACGCAGCAATGAATCGTCGAAGCGACCAGGCATGTCAAACTATTGCAACGAGACAATCCCGCAAGTCAACACTCAAGATGTGTAAGTGGATATGGCATGTAAGGGTGACTGCTCACAAAACCCCCTACCCTCCTCATCCCTGACTTCGGAGCAGGCTCAGGAGCGTCCAGATTCAATGTACCCCTGCCCCCCCTGCCTGCCCTGCCATGCACCACCAGGACTACAGCACAAGCTCGGCCTTTGAAACGGGTGTTTCAGCGTCTGGGTTCACTGTACTGTCGCACAGCTTCACCTTCCTCCGCCAACCCACCAACTTCCTCGTCGAATCTGAACCTCAGGTACGCTCGGGTGCGCCGGGGCCTCCTGAAGGTTCGGTTGCTTAGGGTTGTAAGACGCATGTTCCCAAGGGGTTTGGGCGGTTTATGTTCTCTCTTCTCCTCTCATCTCTTTCGTCCTTTCCCTCTACTCACTTATTCTTACTCTCCTTGGGTGAGCCAGGGGTCAGCCTCTAGTAAGGGCCTGTGGAACGCACCTGTAGTTTTCCTCTCGACTCTTCTCCGCTCATCCCTTGTCTTCCCCCCCTTGCCTCCTTCGGCTGCCAGGGCACAGCATCCAGCAAAGGCCTGTGGACGGTATATCTGGGGAAGGCGGATCCCGAGTGGGCGAAACTGCTCCCTCATGTCAATTATGTGCTCTTCGCTACAGGGCACTGGTTCACCAATGTGAGTACTTAAATTCAACGTGACTACACGATTGTGATTTCTCCGATGCAAGTACACTATTTTTTTTTTTAGTCAACTCAAAAAAAATCGAGTCGACTCAAAAAACACTAACCTGTGCGTATATGACTACCCTAGTCGAGGTTGACATGCACTCGGTCGGTAAGTGGACTTTGTATCTTCCTCCACTTAACCCCCCCCTCTCCGTCCCTCTGCCGCTCTCCCTCACTCCTGGACTACCCGAGAATCCTGGTCGCCATCAATGTCTTCAGCCCTCTCCACCTCCCTACTTTCTTTGCTCCCCATCTTGTTGTGTCTTCCTCGTCCCCCCGACCCGCCTCCCAGGCCCCTCCCCACACTCGTGGTTACCACAACTGTAACGCTCTCTCCATACGCCTGCCGTATTCTCTCCCTCAACTGCACCTTTCTGCCCTCCTATCATACCCGCCAACCCCCCCCTCCCCTCCCCACCCCCTCCCCAACCCACCTCCCAGTCCCCACGCCACACACGGGATTACCGCGACTACAGCGGCAAACCGATCTCCATCAGTTCAATCAAGGCCATGCGAGCTGCGATCCGTACCGTCCGTAAAACGGTTCAATCCAGCGGCTTCCGCAGCATGCCTATGTTCCTCAGCTATACTGCCACGCACTACCCGAAATCCTTTCCCCCTGAGGATTCCTCAAATGATTGTTCTAATGTTAATGCGCCTGTGGGGGATAATGTGGTTGAGTATGCAGAGAAGCACACAATCTTTATGAAGGCTCGGAATGATTTGCGATGGGTAAGGCTATCTTCTTAGAAACTTAGGACTCAAGGTTCTTAAACTTAGAAGGCTAGGTTGGCTAGGATACTAGGAAGAAGGCCGCCATGGAATGGCGTGAGGAAAACGGATCTAGGAAGGGAGAGAATTGTCGAGAAGAAAGATGTTTGATTAGGAAGAGAGAGGAGTACAAGAAGGGGTTTGTACCCTCTACAGAAAGGTTCAGTAACAACCTACCAAGCCTATATTAAATTATAACATATATAATTTTAACACACCCCCTAGGCTTGGTAGTGTCAAGCCCACGCACACCCCCACACCCACACCCACACCCACACCCCCTAGCCCAGCACCCCCATTCCCAGCAGGAGCCGAAACGACTCCGGAAGAGGGTAGGTCTCACGGCCCCTTGAGACGGCAATGGCGGCAGCAGCGACAGTGACGACAGCGGCGGCGGCGGCGGTGTGCGGCGGCTCCAGGCCTGCGGCAACAGCGGCGGCGCCGGGGGCTCGAACGACAGAGGTTGGTGCGGCGGCCCCCGCCCTCTCGGCGGCATGTCCTGTCTCCTCGGCGGTGGAGAGGTCCCTCACATGGCAGTCATCGGCTGCAGCAAGAAAGGGGGGGATGCAGGGGAAGCAGGTGCAGGTGGGGGGGGGAGGGGAGGGGGGCGGGGCGAGGCGAGTCTTCAGCGACGCGCCATAAATGGCGCGGCGCTTACTGGCGGGAGGACGTCGTCCTGAGGGACGCCCGTCTGTGGCGAGCGGGCGGCAGGCCCGGCGACGCCACAGACGTCGCTCGGCCGGCCGCAGCCCGACGATGCCGTCGGCTGCCGCAGACGCCGCCACAGCGCACCGTCAATGTCGCAGCGGCGAGGCGGACGGGCGACGGCTGCACCAAGGGGCCGTCGCGACACCTTGGCGCCGCGACGGTAGGCAACGAGGGACCGTCGCGACACCTTGGTGCCGCGACGGCAGGCAACAAGGGGCCGTCGCGACATCCTGGCGCCGCGACGGCAGGCAACAAGGGGCCGTCGCGACAACTTAGTGCCGCGACGACAGGCAGGCAGAAAACCGCGAAGGCTGCGAATGCAGTAGGAGTACGCAACGGGAACGTAGGGAGAGGGTCCGGTGGACACGACCGGCTCTGATACCATCTTAGAAACTTAGGACTCAAGGTTCTTAAACTTAGAAGGCTAGGTTGGCTAGGATACTAGGAAGAAGGCCGCCATGGAATGGCGTGAGGAAAACGGATCTAGGAAGGGAGAGAATTGTCGAGAAGAAAGATGTTTGATTAGGAAGAGAGAGGAGTACAAGAAGGGGTTTGTACCCTCTACAGAAAGGTTTAGTAACAACCTACCAAGCCTATATTAAATTATAACTTATATAATTTTAACATATCTAACACCTTTCACATACTGTGGGTGTTTCCGTTTTTTGTGCAAGCAATCTGTGCAACGTTATGTCTTACATTCTTACAACACCTGCTATCATGGCGCCCTACTTTCTTTTCTTTCTAAGTGCTTTCTCCATGCTTCTCTCTTCATCATCTTCCCTTGCATGCTTGTTCTTATTGCAACGTGTGCTACGCCAGGTGTTACGGAATTCAAAGTTCAAAGTCATAGATGTAACAAGGGCAACACTGTACCGTCCTGATGCGCACTTGCAGAAGTATGGGGAGGAACCTATGGATTGCTCTCATTGGTGCGTTCCAGGTGTTCCTGATTCGTGGGCCGACATTGTATTCTCCTACATGTCCGGCTCAATAGCATGAGGGGCATAGCATGCTCGAAAGAGAAGCCATGAAAGTCATATCTCATGATTTTCTTGAGCATTCTCTAACAATGTCTATGTCTTAGTGTCAATTGGTGTGTGAGCGGGTGATGTCAAAAGTGTCTTTGAAGGATGAGTTTGGTTCAGCCATCTCGTGAAAGAATATATTTCGATAATAGGTTACAATGCGAGCCCCCGATAGTGGTCAGGCATCCGCGCCGCGAAGCTGGGCTTGCCAAATTGCCAAGCGCGGTCCGGGACGCATTTTGATTTCTTTGGATTGTATGTGAGAGGGAGGGAGGTAGGCTACCTCAGGGAGGGAGGTAGCCCACCCATGCCAAATTGGCAACGCGAAGTGGACCAGACCAGAGAACCAGTGCCTTCACCAGCATGAGTGCGACTATGCGACCAACCATCACTGTGCCCTGCTCTCTCCCTGCATCCTTCTTCCCCAGTGAAGTCAATTTCTCCAAGGCAATGCACAGACTAAGTAGCACCGCGCCCGCCGTCGTGGCCTGATTCCATCACTGCCCTTTATGGCGCATCAACTGCATGCCGAAATACCCTAGACGTATATTTTCCAAGTGGAACTTTCAATTGGTAGACTAGGACAACTCGCTGAGCGTCGAGCACCCTGACCAATGCAGAGCCGCCAGCTGGCAGCGGTGGAGTTACGACGGTCTGCAATGCAGTCTAGGAAGGCCTCGAACCTGTTTTCCCCCTGGATGGGAGGTTTGCTTCCGTTTTTGGCGCTGGTGGGGCTGGCGACGGCACTTGCGGCGCCTGTCACGGCTACGGATGGCGAGCGATGCGACATCACCGCTGGCGAGTAGGTCGCGGCTCGTAGTAGGCACGCTGCGTTGCGCTTTTAGGTTATGTGTTGCGCTATTGGGCTTTGCGTTGCGCGAATGTCGCGAGCCCGCGCTGCTCGTAATCGCGCGTCACACTACAACCAACAGCGCGCGATGCGACATCACCGGTGGCGAGTAGGTTCCGTTGTGTTGCGGTCTCTAGACGTTTACGTTGCGAGGTAGGCTCAATAGATGCCTAAGCGGCTCGAGCATCAGGTCAGAGTTGCGCGAATGTTGCCGTCATTGACGCTACTAAGCATCATCTGTCGCCGCGGTTGGCGAAAAGGTTTCGTTAGACGAAGGAGTTACGAGAGTAACCGCCCTTGTAATTTCGCCTGCCATTTTGCGCTCCTCGCGTGTATCATCCATCTCGCTTGTTCCGCCAGAACTAGAAACCCCATGCCATCCATTTTCTAGGCGCAGTAAAATAGAAATAAAAATGCCGCAGGTCGCCCCTTGTTTGTCGTCCGCTCTTGCCGCTCCCCCCGTCGCTCCCTTCTTCCTCCTTTCCCCTGCCGCAGTACACGGCCGCGAGCTGCTTGAGGTTAAGTAGGTCAGTTTTTAGACGTCTCAAAACTAACATGCCGTACACGGCCGGGAGCTGCACGAGCAGACGAATCACACATTCTCTCTTCTCCCTCCCTACCTCTGCTCACTCCAGGTGGCTCTACAGCCCGCGACACGCGCCGCAGTACACGGCGGAGAGCTGCAAGAGCCTGGGACGCGACTTCGCGTGCCAGCGCAACGGGCGGCCGGACTCGGAGTACTTAAAGTACATCTGGCGTAGCTTCGGGTGCCGTATAGCGGAGTACGTATCTCTTAAAACCCCGGTGCGAGAGGGGTAGACTCGGAGTAGTTAAGGTACAGGTGGCGCAGCTTCGGGTGCGCAGTAAGACAGGTAAGACTCATGAGACCCGGTCCATCGCCCCTCCCCCGTTTCTAGAACATAACGTCGAGCGCCTCACCGTCACGTCCGCCCTCCCCCGCATTGCCCTCCATGTCTCCCCAGCAGCTTCAAGCCTCTCCCCTTGCTCTCTCTCATGCGCAACCCGGTCTTCATGGTGGTGGGGGGTTCACTCTCTGCGAACCTCTTCTCTCCTCCCTTCATCTCCTCCCCAATCTATCCCCCCCCCCCCCTCTCCGCCCAATCCCCCACCAGCTTCAAGCCCCTCTCCTTCCTTACTCTTATGCGCAACAAGGTGTTCCTTATAGTGGGGGATTCCCTCACTATGAACCTCTTCTCCTCGCTACAGTGCCTCGTCGAAACAGTCACACTCACTCAGGTGAGGACCAGCTATAGTCAAATGGGGTTTTCAATCCCCCCTTTGAGTCGACTCAAGGGCAGTGCGTCCTCCAGAAAGTCACACTCACTCAAGTTAGGCCCCGTTATAGTCAAATGACCTCTTCAATTTTACGATTTCAATATTTATTTCCTTTTCCGAGTCGGCTTAAGCAGTGTCTGGTCGAGACAGTCACAATCACTCACGGGCTCTACAACAGTCGAATGGCGCGAGGGGCTGCAAAGCACGTGGCGTGTAATGCCCCGCATTCCCTGCCTCCCCGTAGTCCCCCACTTCTCCCTCTCTTCACGCGTGAGGAGTCTATTTTTGAGGCGCCTCAAAAACCGACTCCTCACGCATCGTAGATCCCCACGTCTCCCTCTCTTCTTCACCCATTCCTTGCCGCTTTCAATCGTCCCCTTTCCCCCACATCGAGGTCATCACCCCCTTTCCAACCCCCCCCCTCCTCCCCCTCCTCCCCCTCCGCCCTTCCCGCTCCTTTCCCCCCTCCACCGGATTGCAGGATTTAAAAGGGCCGTTGTTTCCCGGAGGCCCTGAAACACGTGGGATTATCGCGCCTGCGTTTAACGCCACCTTCCTGCGCCACCCATCCTCGTTCCTCACCAACTCCAAACCCGATGTAAGCTGCTGCATTACTCGCTATGACCCACTTCGAACTCGGTAACAGCTGCTCCGTTACTTGATACAAGCTGCTCCAAACCCGTCGAGTCCAGTGCAAGCACGTGGACAGAGCATCTGGACGAGGTGTAAACCGGCCCCCAAAGCCATGTGATTAGGCGAGCGGAATTGGACAGAGCATTCGGACTAGGTGCAAGCTGCCCCCAACCGCAAACGGACTAGGTGCAAGCTGCCCCCTACTGCATTCGGACTAGGTGCAAGTCTAGGGTGACATCAAACTTCAACCTCCCACTTCCTCTTTCTCAACTGTGCAGGGTGAGAAGTCCAGTGCAAGCACGTGGACGGTGCATCTGGATGAGGTGCACCCTGATTGGTCACCGCTGCTACAGTACTCCCACTATGTCCTGTTTGGGACTGGTACCTGGTACACCATGGTGAGTTTATTAGTTAGTTTTTTGCCCTTTTATGCATGGTGATGCAGTTGCATTATGCATACCATCTTGCTAATTATGCATAATGTTACAGTTGCATACCGAGTGCTGGAACCAGTACCTGGTTAGTGACTCTGATGTCGTGACAATAGCGTGCACGCCATTGTTCAATCTTATGCATCATATGCCAAACGCACTGTACCAATCTTCTCTCCTCACCCTGAAACTCCAAGCTCCTATTCCAAACTAGACATGGGCAAAATGCGATTGCGATTTAAATCGCATAGCGCTGGGATGCGATTTAAAATCGCATCACGCGATTTAATTTTGAAAGAAAGAAAAATCGCACATCTCTTTCAGCGGGCGATGTTTAATTAAACCGCATGCGATGTTTAAATAAATCGCATCGCATTTGAAAACCGGAAAAAATCCAGCCAAAAAACCCTTAAAAGACATGGCTGCTGGGAAATTGAATCGCGGGCAGTCCTGTACTGTGTAAATAAATAGTGTGTTTCGTAGAAGGTGGATGAAGTTCAAGAAGGTGGATGTGATTTGAAATCACGCGCGATTTAAAAAAAATCGCGTATCGCAATTAAATGCACTTTAAATTAAATGGCGTGATAAACAATTCATCGCATCGTGCAATGAATACAACAAATAAATTAAATCGCAATCGCAAAACGCGATTAAATGCGATGCGATGAGATTCGATTTAATTTGCCCATGTCTATTCCAAACCCCCCATCAGGCTGATCTCAAGAAGCGTCGCTACATGCTCAACAACACACTTCAGCCCGAAATGGACCGCATCGTTACAATGCAAATTGCTATAAACACCGTGATCAAATTCACCCGGAGCCTCAACTACACTGGGATGCCCATGTTCCTAACCTTCACTCCGATGCATTACCATGTGAAGCTGAATGAGAGCATGCAAGACGCCAACTGCAGTGTAATCCAACAGCCCCTGACGGTCCAGCAAATTGCCAACATGGAATGGGCGGTTGACGCGGTGGGAACTCGCAAGGCACAGCTGAAGGTAAGAAGTCGTAATGTTTTTGGCAGTAGTCAGCATCTCTATGAAACAACGATGCTTGATTTTGTATTATGAGGTTCATTGATATGGCCCCTCGATACAAAAGATTGTCAAGACAAAAGGCTGCTGTGGACAATTAGGGTGACATTATATGCACCTTATGCACCAATTGCCATCTTCTGCCTCGCTTTTTTCATGATTCATATTCCTTAAATCCTGTCGTATGTGTTTCAATTTCAGGTATTTCAGCATGCACTTGAGTTCAAAATCATAGATATAACCACCTTGTCATTGTATAGAGCTGATGGTCATCTCCAATCCTACTTCGACATTAAGGGGGGAATTGACTGCCTCCATTGGTGCATTCCTGGTGTACCAGACACTTGGGCTAACATCATATATTCCTATATGATGGGCTATTTATAGCACTCATTATTAAACCTAGAATTGAATGATAAGAGAGAGAGAGTACACAAACATATACCTAAATGTTGTACTCTCTAGAAGGTGACCCTATACAGTCTATACAAACACGATAACTACACATGTTTGACACACCCCCTGGACTGCATAGGGGAATGTTCTAGACAAGCAGCTCAGGGTGGCACTACTAGTCCAGCCTCTGAGACAAGGGTCTAAAAGACCAGTCAGAAGGAGTACAGACAAGGCAAGAACTAGTACAGGGCGGCACTACTAGTCCAACCACTGTGAGAGGACACAAGTCCAGTCTAAGTGTATACATATATATATAAGACAGTACAAAGTCAAGGCCCGAGTAAGTGAGAGACTACAGGAACCAGACCAAGCTGTACACAGTGCCGCTGATGATCTTTAGGCGCAAGTGCCTTCGTAAAGATATCAGCTGTGTTGGCACCGGAGGCCAAGTGTACTACGCGAGCCTGGCGACGCTGCTGCAGCTCGCGCAGGAGGAAGTACCGCAGCTGGATGTGCTTCGCTCTGCCCTCGAGTCGAGGCTCCTGACACAGGAGAATCATGGCCCTGTTGTCAGCGTACAGGACCGGGGCAGAGCTAGGCCGCTCACCTAAGTCAGTGAGCAAGAAGGTCAGCCAGCGGAGCTCCTGTGCCGCCATGGCACCGGCGTAGATCTCAGCCTCACAGCTGGACTGGGCAACAGACGAGGAGCGGGTAGCTCTCCACGAGACAGCACCTGAGCCAAGGCTAAAGCAGTAGCCCTGGGAAGACCTGAGCGTCTCGGCGTCGTCTGCCCAAGAAGCGTCTGTGTGTCCAGTAAGGACCACTGGCCTGCGTCCGCCTAGCACTAACCCCATGCCCGATGTACTTGCAAGATAACGCAAAACCCTCTTAGCGGCAGACCAGTGCTGAGGTCGGTGTCTGCCTGTGGCCACAAAACGAGCCAGGATGCTGAGAGGGTATGCGAGATCTGGGCGAGTGCAAGTCATCAGGTACATGAGGCAACCCACTAGCTCAGCGTAAGGACCACTGTGATCTACCGACTCCTCAGGAACTGGAGCGGAAAGTCTGTGGTCCAGAGGAAGAGGGGTGGGCTGTGCGGAGGAGAACTGAAGGCCGAACCTCTGAAGGACCTGGCGCACCAAGTGTGACTGAGTCAGGGTGATGGTGCGCGCGGCTCTGTCCCTGGAGATCTGCAAGCCAAGGTAACGGCGCAGCTCTCCAAGGTCAGTGCAGGTGTGTCTCTTCAGCAGCTCTGCCTTCACGGAGGCCAGTGCGTCCCTGTCAGCTGTGGCAAAGACCAGGTCGTCTACGTAGACGAGGATGTAGAACGGAGTCGAGCCAGCACGAACGAAGAGCGAGGGGTCTGCAGAGGACGGAAAGAACTGCAGGTCAGCAAGGGTAGCACGCAGCGTGTCGTGCCACTCACGAGGCGCCTGGCGCAGGCCGTAGACTGGCCGCCGCAGAAGCCACTGGGTCCCAGGGGGGAAGGTGCCAGTAAAGCCCTGAGGACGACGCAGGTAGACCTGCTCGTGAAGGCTGCCCTGAAGAAACGCAGTGGAGAAGTCGAGGGAGTGAAGCTCGTAGTCACGCTGAGCCGCTACGTGTAGCAGAACCCGAAGAGTAGTCATCTTCGGGGTAGGAGCGAAAGTCTGAAAGAAGTCCACCCCCTCGCGCTGACTGAAGCCTCTAGCCACGTAACGCGCCTTGAACACAGGCGGCTCTCCAGGAGGGCGCTTCACCTTGAAGAGCCAACGGCCATCGACCACGTTCACCCCAGGTGGGGGAACTGCGTCGACGAAGGTGCCGGTGGATCTCCAAGATGCCATCTCCTGCTCCATGGCAGCTATCCACTGAGAGGCCCAAGGTCCCGAAACCGCCTCAGCGTAAGTACGAGGGATCGGGATGTCAAAAGCGTCTGGGTCACCCTCAGGGACTAGCAGCATGGAACAGAGATGGGGAGCAGCCTCGGACAGGAAAGCAAGCTCAAACTGGCGGTCCTCCAGGACGTCACTGCCGAGGGCAGGAGCACCCCCGACAGACGGAGGACAGGCAGGGTGAGAGACCAGAGCGGAAGCGTAGTCAAGGCGGCGGGTAGAGGCGAAGTCAGCGACCGCAGCGACAAGGGCGTCAAGACTCGACACTGGAACAGACGGGTCGGTAACGAGAGAGGCAAGGACCCGAGGAACAAGAGGACGAGCGGCACGAAAGTAGTCAGACAGAGGAGGAGACGCAACGACAAGAGAGGACGGAGGAGGAGACGGGAGGAGGGGAGGACGAGACGCGTGGGAGCGGAGCAACATAGGGTGAGTGCGCGGGACGGGGGAGACAGGACGAGCACGGGAGGGGCGGCGAGACCAGACGTGAGAGGGCGGCGTCGGGTCAGGAGACAGAGGAGGGGACACGGGTGGGGAACGAGGGGGAAAACGAGCCGGGGACGAGTCCGGCGGAGGGAACACGGGGCCGTAGACGGGAAGAGGGGGAGACGGCCGGAGAGGAACAGGCGCAGGGTCAGGGGACGGAAGGCCGAGCAGACGGAGGGCGGACACCGGCGGGGACTGCTGCTGCGGCGACACAACACCAACGCCAGGGCCACAAGCTGCGCGACGGCTACCTCCCGAACCCTCCACACCGGCACCCCCAGAAGGGACACCCCCAGAGCCCGAAACACCGCCAGCACCGGTACCACCCCCAGGCCCGCCGGGACAAGCCCCGACAGGAGCCCCGGGACTAGTACCCACCTCAACGCCAGCACCTCCAGAGTCCACAAACAGCGGCAGCGACGACGGCGGCGGCGGCGGCGGCGGCTGCAGCGACGGCATCGACGGCGGCGGCGGCGGAGACGACGGCTGCAGCAGCTGCGGCGACGGCGGCTGCGGAGGCGGTGGAGGAGGAGACACCGGGGGAGGGACAGACGGCGAGGACTGCGCCAAAGGACTACCAGAGTCAGAAGACTCGTCGACCGGAACGACCGACGGGAGGGGGGTGACGTGAGACACACCAGAGGGGGCCGGACGGGGGGGCGGGGGGGGGGAGGGGCAGGGGCCACCAGGGAGGGAGGAACCAGGAACAGGGGGGGAGTAACCGGGGGACCACGGTGGGGAAAGCGGCGGTAGAAGGAGACGGACTCGTCAAAGGTGACGTCGCGAGAGTGAAAGAAACGGTGAGACGGCGGGTGGTAGAAGTGCCAGTCGGACGCGTCAAGGGGGAAACCGAGGAAGACGCAGGGGAGGGTGCGGGCAGTGAGCTTGTCCGTGCCAGAGGCACGAACGTGAGCAAGGCAGCCCCAGACGTGGAACGCAGACGCGTCACCAGGGGACCCGGTCCACAGAAGGGTCGGCGAAACCTGCGGCTGCTGGGGGTGCGGCCACAGGTTAAGCTGGTGAGCGGCGTAGCGCACGGCGAACGGCCACAGAAAATGGGGTGCACCGGCATGGATCATGGAGGTGCGAGCCACCTCCATGACCAAACCGATGCGTCGCTCAGCGACCCCATTCTGCTGCGGGGAGTCCGGCAGGGTAAACGTCTGGGTGATGCCCTCCGCACGACAGAAGCGACCAAGAACACCTGAGGCGAACTCGCCACCCCGGTCGGAGTGGAGGCGCAAGGCAGGGAGACCGCGGTGGAGACGAGCAGAGACAAGCCAGGGGATGAGAACGTCAGGCACGTCGGCCTTCCGCTCCAGGGGAAAGACGGTGGTGTAACGTGTGAAGTCGTCGACAAGCACTAGGAAGAAGCGCTCGCGACGCGGCCCATGGACCGGGGCTGGGCCCCAGACGTCCATGTGCAGAGTCTGCAGGGGTGCGGTGGTAGGGGGAAAAGAGGAGGAGTGAGGGGCACGGCGGAGCCGGCCCTCGACACAAGGCGTGCACGGTGGGGCGGGGGATGAGGGAAACTCAGGGAACGAACCGGGGAGACCAAGGACGAGACCGTGCTGGGACATGTGACGCAGACGCGGGAGTGCAGGGTGACCAAGGCGGTGGTGCCAAAGGAGAGTCGGATGAGTGAGGGACCGACAGGAGCACGCAGCAGCAACCTGGGTGGACGCAGCTACCTGGGGGGAAGACCCAGCCGGGGACGTCGCGGTGGCAAGTGTGAACAGGCCGGACACCGGGTCCCGGGGGAAAGTGGTAAGGGGGGCACCAGTGGCGGCCTCGGTACAGACAGCATACCGCTCGTGACCAGGGAACGTAGTGGTGACGCCAAGGTCCTGGAGGCAGCCGACACCAACTAGGTTCCTGGAGAACGAGGGGATATGCAGACCGGTGAGCGAACCTGAAGGAACCGCCGGACAGGGAAGGGAGGTGGAACTGCGGGCAAAGACGGGACCACCGGAGGGGTCAGCAAGAGTAACTGCAGCAGGAACAGGCAGCGGCGTCAGCGTCGTGGAGTCGCGGAAGAAACACCGGGAGGCGCCAGAGTCCAAGGTGAAGGAAAGCGCAGCAGTCGCGCGGGGCGACAGTGAAGCGGTGGAAGCACCGAGGCTAAGCAAAGCAGGAGATCCTACGCCTGACGCAGCAGGGGAGTCTACGCTAGGCACAGCTACACTAGGCAACACGGGGTAATAAGAGGGAAGCACACTAGAGTCATCGGCATACATCACATGCAAGGCTGCTACAATGGCATCCATGTCCAAGTCAAAAATCCGAATGCTACGCCTAAGCAAGCTGTGCCAGTCCGGGAGGTCGGGCGCCTGGCCAAAGCGCTGGCGGAACAGGTCGTCCAGACGACGAAAACAGCGAGGAGTGGAATGACCGATCTTACCGCAAACGAAGCCGCGGCGAGGACCGGTCTGGATCTGGTACTGACAGGGCCCGCCTCCAGAACCACCACCCGGTGCACCACCACGCGCACGACCACCACCAGCTCCAGGCCACCCAGGCGGGAGAGCACTCGCCGGCCTCGTCTGCGGCGGCTGCTGCGGCTGCTGCGGAGGCTGCTGCTGCTGCGGCTGCTGCAACGGTGGAGGCAGCGGGGCAGCTGGACCGGGCAGGGTCCCCACGTCCGCACCGGCACCGGACG